GTTTCGAGAATGTTGGCACGTCATTCGATACTTCGTTCCGTCAAACGTTGCCAACAGTCGACCTGGAAACAAATACGCGTCTGTCTTATCGTCGAGCCACCCTTCATCCGAGATTGTCATCCGGGCTACGAGCAGTTGTAAACACCAGCGGCAAACATAATATAACGAACGCTCCGGGCTATGCGTGAAACAAACCCCTCTTTCTCTTATAGTTATTCCTGCGTGCGTATTAATACGCGAAGAAATTTTTCTACGCTACCGAGAAGGTCGAGAGAACTATCGTTGACTCGTCACGAATGTACGTTTTTAGTCCCTTGACAATCTACAAATGGGGCAAGTAGTATAAACGTAAAACAGAGCCTTCACAGTAGTACACGTTGAAATTAGTCAGCCACTACCGAATAATATAGGTACAACTGATTTTGTTAACAGACTGTAAGAAAGGAATATTGCGCGAGTAGTATAAAGCAGAAATAGTCAGCCCACATCGAAAGGTCAATGATTTGACCCCAAAACAGTAACAAGATATCACTGGTGTCGCGGCCAAGAATTAATTTCAATATTAAATCATTTATGCGAATACGATACGAATTTAATTTAACAAATTTCGTATGAAAAATGAGACCTTAACTGCATCACACTCCTGACTTCACAATTTTACGTCGACTTTAACAACTTTGTCCGCAAATAATTAACTAATTGATGTCAGACAAGACTGATTATTGTTCAAGAGAGAAATATAATAAACACGAATGATTTTTAACGAACATTTAAATTTGATTAGGAAATCAGAAAGCGCGTAGAGGGTCAGTTGTTAATTGTAGCCGATGGTAACGATGCATAAAGTTTTATCCTTTTCTCGAGAAACACCAGATCCCGCCACCCCCGATAAATTATATGTCGATAAATTAAAGCCCCGGTCGGCGTCCGCCGATAAAAATCGAAGATGCAAACCGACCAAGCCGATGGAGGAGAAAGGCCGGCGGTAACAGCGATTCATTTTTCATCGACCTAACCGAATTTGTCGAACTCGGACCCGCGCCAAGGGTGGGATCTAATTTCAGGGCCATTACGATGTATACGAGCTTCTCTACCCTCTACGACCCGATAGCCGTGAACTATCATTTGTACGAATTACATCGCCCACCTCATTCCACCCTCTATATCGGCGATCGTTTATTATTATTAGCATCAACCCCCAACGTGTCACGCTTCCGTGATATCTTCCCGAACGGATATTCCATTAATCCTTCCGAGGATCCTTCGAGAAACTTCAGATTCCGCGAGTCTACATTTACGAGAACCTTCGTTGGATAACTCAATTCGATGCAGTAAGACTTTTGTCGCGACAGGATTGTTACAATGACGATAAAGTGAAGGTGTTAAACGTTGAAACCTTTAAAAGCTACACCTTTTAATCTGACCACGAGGACTCGTGTCTGATAATGCGGGTTAAGAATTCCATAACGGTGGAACACTTACGATGAGAGAGTAGAAGGGAAGAAGAATCGAGAAATAATTTGGCGCGACCTCGACATCTTCTGATCTCTTCCATCGGATAGATGAACCCTTTCATCCCCCAAGAGTCCTGATGGGCTTCGAGCAAGCTTCCGATCCGCGACGATGGAAATTACACGCGTACATAAGAGGAAGGTGAGAGACTGGTACGTTAAAGAAATTAGAGAGATAATTCCTCGGACGAATACCCAATTTACCCTTTCGCCCGTGCCGAGCGTCCTGGCCTTATTATCTAAAGTGCTCGACTGCGAGAGGCTGGCAGGGAAAAAAATAAAAAGAACACACACCCTTCTGGCAGGGCAAGGCGGACGGTTCTGTAGGGAGTGGTGGCCGGTTACAAGGACAAAAAGTATTAAAGGATACCTCGAAGCTTCTCCTCACGGACTAGCTAACTGGAGATGCTGGCAAACGTCTTTTTTGTTTTGGATCCTATCATTTATTCACGCCAGAGTTATTTTCTCTTTCCAGCCTTCAACGTCTGCCCCTCGTCCTCCTCGTCCATATTTTCATTCGATCCTTTTTGCGACTAAATTTATTTTCTTCGCGCAAAGTTCCTTGCCGCAGCGCCATCGATGCCGGGCTACAATAGGGGACAAATTTATCCCGAAGGTATCGAGATTAGCGACAAACGAATATTCATCAGGTTCCAGCGATCCATTTGCAACTATCGCACAATAGACGCCGCAACAAAAGGGTTAACCCCCCTAATCAAGTATTATCGATCCCCTACTGTCCTCCATTTTCGCGCAATCACCTGCAATTCTGTTCCGTCCAAAAATCAAGATACACAAAACCGAACGAAATCGATCCATCGATCGAGCCTGCGGAAAAGAGCGTCCGCGTGCACCCAGGGTACGTTCGCGTTCGAGAATAAAATCACTAAGAAAAGCTCTCGACAGTTTTCGCGAGACGTAGCGGCGAGATGACACAGTTTAGAGAAGAGGGATAGTCGCGTGCAGGGTCGAAAATGAATCCCTGCATCGCGAAGGCCGAAAACCACCCCCGGGAAACGATTCCATTCGCGATTCGGTGAAAAAGAGAACGGGAGCCGCGATGCGGCCGCACGCGATTGAAAGAACGGCCCCAATCATCCCTCTGGTGGAAATGCATTTTCCGTCTCTCTGGCTTCTGTGCCCGACGCCGTGGCGGCGGTTTCGTCCATGGCTTCATACGACCTGCACCACCGCTACAGGAGAGCTGGCCAGTCTTTGTCGCTATTTTGGGGGGATGAACGAGCCGGGGACACGAATACGTGTTCGATCGATGAATCACTCGGCGTGCACCGTTGACGTTGACGTGGAACGAGACCAGGACCAGGCCAAACAGCGCAACGGAAAGGGAGAGAGAAAGTTTTGTGACGAAGCGAGAAGAGGATGATAGAGAAGGGAGAGGGTGGAGCAGGGGATCGCGGAGAGGAGTCGGATGCACCCTCTGATGTACAGGGTGTCTCACGCGACTCGGACATCGGCTACTTTTAACCCCCGGCTCGCTCAACTTTCACCTCGACCTATCAAATATACTATTTCTTCCGATTTTTTAATCAGAAACGTTACTAGAACTCACATACCTACGGATACTAATAAAATTTAAAAAGTGAATTTAGAAACGAAGTCAAGTGATAAAGAAGATAACGCGTTAATCGGTTGTAATAATTTGCAAAGTGTTCCTCGAGCGTTAAAAGAATCACGAGGGGTACAAGTGGCTCCAGTTGGATGGAACACCCTGTAGACGGGAGCAGCTCACCGGTTACGGGTGTAGAGTATGCAGGCGCGGGTGTATTAAAAAGCGGGGGTGGCTGCGGTCGCGTACCAATCACCCGACGGGGATGAGGGGGGCAGGAGGTGGCTCTTCGTGAACGAGAGGGGGTCAAAAGGTGGTCTGGGGTGGCTCGATGGACGGGAGCAGTCACGGTGGAGAGAGGGATCATACAGAGAGACGGTTTGTTCCGAGAGAGAACACGCCCGAGCCACGCAACCCCCGTGAAATTTTAATCGTGTCGTCATTGGGGTAGTTTGTTGCGATAACCCGACCAGCATGGACGTGTACGGGTTTCGCCGAAAAAAGGACCGCAGTGATCGTTGGGACACGTTTGTACGGTTCTTTCTTTCTTTTTTTCAGGAGGGTGAAGGGACTGCTGGTTTTTGTCTTTAAGGGTGATGAGTCGTATTTTTCGTGCAGCGATCTATCGATCGATAACTCTGTGTTTCGTACTTACATTCATTTTTAATTAAGAATATGAATTGTTAGAAATCGAGGTGAGTGTTCTTCGATTATCAACTACTAATTTTTCCTTGTCAAAAATATATAATTTCATTTAGTGATTCATACTAGGTAGAATTAAGAGATTGCCATCTTATTAATTTTAGTAATGATCAAGAATTTCCTAAATACTCGAAAATGTAGGTAAAATTAGCCATCCCCTCTTAACCTTTAAACCGACCAACAATTTTGCAAATAGCCAGAAATAAAATTCCAATCGTTAATCTACTCTCGCTTTCAGCGATCATTCCGGCCTGTCCGAACAAACTCTTTTTTTCACGTCGCAGAACAAGCGCGAATATTTACCAGTGTCGTAATTAGCAGAGTTGACGGGACACGTTTCCATCGATGAACGCGTTCGTGCACACGAGAAGAGAGGCGGCGAAAGGGGATGAGGTCCACGCGTGAATGCATCGTTTGAAAGATTCATGGAGATGCGGTGTACCGGGCATTATTGCTCATTTGATCGGGCGGCGCATCGGAAAATAATGTAGAAAATTGTTTTGCGGTCTTTTTATCTCGATTTCAGAGACGTGACGGCTGGTATGCTGATAGTAACACAACCGATCGCTTTTCGAGGGAACAGAGGGAAGAGAGATGCTTTGTGTATCCCATCAATCACGCGGACCTTTTCACCGACCGGATATCGGGCCTGGCCGTTTTTGCGTGCGGTGCATCCCGCCCGATTGCAATCGCGGCGAATTATTGAATCTGCTGCATCTCGTCTGTCCGGATTAGGTTGGGTTAGTTCGCGACTTCCCTGGGACGATTTTGCATTTTGCGAATCGCGCTCAAACATTTCTATCTCTCTCGCCCCGCCGCGGGGAACTATCGATCGATCGTTTTGAAAAATCCGCCGGGAAAAGGATGGAATTTTTGTCAAAATTCCTTCAACGCTCCGATGACTATTGTGGATATCGCGAGAATACTACCCTTATCAATTACATAAACTCGTACTAACTCTGGAATTGTCGATATGTATAAAATATTGTGATGGTTGTAATAACAGTAACATAAAGTTTTCTAATACATAATGTCCATGGCTAATAATTTGGAAATGATTATCTTAAACTATGATCAACTGTGAACAATTTTTTTGAATAATCTCTCTTTACAATTAATGTAAATATCACAATGAGTACGCGACACTTGTCAAAGCGTCAATATTATGTCGAATACAAAAGTAAGAATATTTAAGTGAACATAAGCAATTTTGTACTTACTCGTCGTAGATCAACTGCGCCTTCCTCGAGGATGATCGAATACACGCTGCGTAAGAAGATGATCATTCATGGAACGGATGATATTACTTTATTTGATGACGGTACTTAAACAGTGAAAGATATTTCTTTTTCCAAGCCAGTCACGTTTAACACGGAACGTCAACAGGTCTAAGTTATTACGCTCTACTCCCTGTCGCGCGTGCTGCCGATGATCGATTAATGTTCCTCGTAAAAACAGCCAAAAAGAAAAAGGAGCAGCTCTTCGAGAACGTGACTCGGCTGGTACTTTGTATCCTTAATCCTGCGATATTTACAACGACACGAGCTTCCGTTTAAACGATCCCCATCGTACGATCAACCTCGCAGGACTCGTTAAATTTCGTTGAATCGGGCGAGCACGATCAGGATCGTTCAACAAAATCGCTACATCTCACTCCAAGACAATGGATAGCGTTTAACACGTACGCGAGACATTAACCTAAGTGATAATTGGACGCCGCTTATATTTACAAGCTATACGAACGTAAACCCTGGTTAGTCCTCGAGTCCTTGACAGTTCCTGTTCGAAGGACCAAGTGTTTCTCACGGTTGGCTCCTGACTAGTACATTCGGTCGGAACAAGTCGAGAAATTCCGTATTCTCCGTGGACCCGATACGAATTCTAACGTAAACTGATCAAGACTTGGGCAAATTTACAACCGGATATCTTCCAGGAGATTCCTGCGTTCAGAAATCCTTTGAGCCGGTTAATTTTGTCCTTTAGTACGGTCTCCAGACCTGTCTGGGTTTAGGGCTCGTCTCTCTTCTCGCTCGGACTCCTTCTCTCTCGACTTCGCTGTCTTCGTCCTTCTTCCTGGTGGTCAAATCCTGACCCATGTTTTCCTTGTCCTGTCCCCGCTTAGTGCTCAGATCCACGGTTCCTTCGAGACGGATTTTCACCGCTAAGTCTCGTCGCGAAATCTGCTCGTCGTTGAACGTTTCTTGATCGTTCGAGTTTTCCATACTGGGTCGCAGATGAACGGAAGCATCCTGAAACGTGACATCCGTGGTGACGTCTTCGAGGTCGCTTCTAACCGGCGAGATCCTCGGCGAGTCCTGTTCTTGAAGAGATTCGTCGCTCCTCGCGCGATCTCGGTTCCCGTCGTGCTCGTTCCTGTCGTCGACCTCTATACTTCCATCAGGACTATCCAAACCGGACCTGGGAAACGGATCCTGTTCGTCGTCCCTCTGTTTCTCTTCTTTCAAATCGATTTCCGGGCTATTGCTACGACTTCGGAGTTTCCTCGCTTCTTCCAGCCTGGCCTGATCGGGCCTCTGCAATCGTTGCTGCGCCAATCTCAACGCTAGAGCGTGCCACTCGGGCTCCAAGGCGTACTGCTGCGTGTGATAGAGAGGGTTGTACAGCCAGGACGATTGCGGCAGCAGCGGGGCGAATATCGAGCCGAAGATGGACCCTGTAGCTCCCAGAAGATGAAGACCTGTCGTTAGAATTATTGTCAACTCGACGGTGCCAACTAAAGTTGGTGGAGATAGCAGAATTATTTCGACCCGTGCCAACGCTTCTAAATTGATTAACTTCGGTACCTTGGAAGTGCGAATGATGTCCAGAAGGAGTGGGCGTCGTGGTGGTCGTGGTGGGTTCGGCGGGTGGCGTTGGCGCCGCGACGGTGGCCGTCGTGAGCAGTCCAGGTCCGGGATTACCAGGTGACGTCGTCGGTGTCACTACCCTCACGGAAACGCTGATTGGAACCAAATCGTTCCTGGACGACTCTTTAAGAAACCCATTAACCAGTGAACTCCAGAGATTTAACTATCCTTCGACGCGGCAATTCGATTCGGACATCCTTTCGATTCCGACGAAATTAACAACGTCTTCGATCGATTGCATTTTAGATCGCTTCGAAAAATCCAACTCGATAACGTTAAACACATCTTGATTCGAAGGATGTCATTTCGTGATAACGTCGGACAAAAGTGTTTGAATCCTTACCGGTGTTAGGTCCAGGTAATCTAGGGGATCTTTGCTCCATACTATGGTGGAAGGGATTGAAGGCCGACGCACCAGCTGTTGGAGGATGTGTATGCGAGTGGTGACCAGGAGGTGGTGGAAGACAGTGGGGTGGCAGAGAACCTCGGGGTAATCCACCCCACCCTTGACTTGCTCCTTGCTCCAGACTCAGGTGTTGCAAGCCTGTGCAATCGAAACGATCTCTGAAATTATGTCTGTCAGTCTTTCGGCTTCTTGGTCAGTATCTTCCGAGAAATTCGTGGGATCGATACGGGACTGGACCTTGGCTGGGGAAATCTAACCCTTAACGCGTTGACTGATGCGGCGGACACCGGTGGCCGACGCGAAGCGAAATCTACTCTTATCTACTCTTATATAGAAGGAACTTCTCGATAACAATGTTAATTATTTAGGCGAACAGTAACCAGAGTTTGAACGTTTTAAGATCAATCAACCTAGTATCTGGTATCTAAATCGATACTGTGAAACGTTAAATTTTTGAACGATTATACAAAAGTAGATTCTATATTCTTCAGAGTATCGATCATATCAAAATAGGAAATCAGAGATTAATACGATGATAGTGGACCACGTCCGAAGTAAATACTGTTTACGGGATCTTTGAAAGAATAAAAATGTGGGTGGCGTTGGCGCCGCGACGGTGGCCGTCGTGAGCAGTCCAGGTCCGGGATTACCAGGTGACGTCGTCGGTGTCACTACCCTCACGGAAACGCTGATTGGAACCAAATCGTTCCTGGACGACTCTTTAAGAAACCCATTAACCAGTGAACTCCAGAGATTTAACTATCCTTCGACGCGGCAATTCGATTCGGACATCCTTTCGATTCCGACGAAATTAACAACGTCTTCGATCGATTGCATTTTAGATCGCTTCGAAAAATCCAACTCGATAACGTTAAACACATCTTGATTCGAAGGATGTCATTTCGTGATAACGTCGGACAAAAGTGTTTGAATCCTTACCGGTGTTAGGTCCAGGTAATCTAGGGGATCTTTGCTCCATACTATGGTGGAAGGGATTGAAGGCCGACGCACCAGCTGTTGGAGGATGTGTATGCGAGTGGTGACCAGGAGGTGGTGGAAGACAGTGGGGTGGCAGAGAACCTCGGGGTAATCCACCCCACCCTTGACTTGCTCCTTGCTCCAGACTCAGGTGTTGCAAGCCTGTGCAATCGAAACGATCTCTGAAATTATGTCTGTCAGTCTTTCGGCTTCTTGGTCAGTATCTTCCGAGAAATTCGTGGGATCGATACGGGACTGGACCTTGGCTGGGGAAATCTAACCCTTAACGCGTTGACTGATGCGGCGGACACCGGTGGCCGACGCGAAGCGAAATCTACTCTTATCTACTCTTATATAGAAGGAACTTCTCGATAACAATGTTAATTATTTAGGCGAACAGTAACCAGAGTTTGAACGTTTTAAGATCAATCAACCTAGTATCTGGTATCTAAATCGATACTGTGAAACGTTAAATTTTTGAACGATTATACAAAAGTAGATTCTATATTCTTCAGAGTATCGATCATATCAAAATAGGAAATCAGAGATTAATACGATGATAGTGGACCACGTCCGAAGTAAATACTGTTTACGGGATCTTTGAAAGAATAAAAATGTTGTAAAGAGTCGAGTTAACAAAAAAGAATCAAAGGATACTAAATAAAATCCGGCAAAAATGTCAAGCACGAAACCCGCGATGGATGCCTGAAAACGATCGTAATAAATGACCAAACAAGTTGGTACGAAGGGAAAAATAGAAACGTTCTCTGAAGATCTGGAAATGTTGTATGTCGGACGGATAAGCGATCACTCGATGACAGATAGAGCTACAGAAACGTTTCCCTTTGACGTAGCGAGCGTTTGACGTGGATGGACAGTTAAATTTATCCAATAGAGAATAGAGAAACGATCGATTACCTTTTTTTCAATGGTAGCCGATACCGCGCGACCATAGACAATGTTCGCGTATACGTGTGTAGATGCAGGCATGCAATTAAATCCACGATAACGGAGGAATTAATCTATTTGAACGCGATTACGTTGCTCATCCTCCATTTTCGAGCACAAAAGGAAAACGAGCGAACGATCCGAGCGAAAGAAAAAGAGAAAATTCCATCGAGACTCTAGGAGGAAAATAATCGAAGCAAGAGCATCGGGCAAGGAAATGACAAAACCGCGAGAAAAGGAATTAAAGTTCGTCGAACGAGAGGTTGTAGGGTGGAAGGGGTTGAAACGAAGCCCGTAGTCAACGGTATAGTATCGGTTTTTCGAAACACCTTGATCAATAGCAGATTATACCGTCATCTGTGCAGGGCAGTTTAAAAATTCCGTGAAAGCTCCGAAGCCACCGACTTGAAGGGTGGGGATCTTGTCGGAGTGGCAAATAGGGGAAGCTTTCGAGCTGGTGGGGAGGGTTGTCTGGTCACTGGAACGTGGGCGTGGCGCATCGTGCTTGCGAAAGCGAAATCTACTCTTATCTACTCTTATATAGAAGGAACTTCTCGATAACAATGTTAATTATTTAGGCGAACAGTAACCAGAGTTTGAACGTTTTAAGATCAATCAACCTAGTATCTGGTATCTAAATCGATACTGTGAAACGTTAAATTTTTGAACGATTATACAAAAGTAGATTCTATATTCTTCAGAGTATCGATCATATCAAAATAGGAAATCAGAGATTAATACGATGATAGTGGACCACGTCCGAAGTAAATACTGTTTACGGGATCTTTGAAAGAATAAAAATGTTGTAAAGAGTCGAGTTAACAAAAAAGAATCAAAGGATACTAAATAAAATCCGGCAAAAATGTCAAGCACGAAACCCGCGATGGATGCCTGAAAACGATCGTAATAAATGACCAAACAAGTTGGTACGAAGGGAAAAATAGAAACGTTCTCTGAAGATCTGGAAATGTTGTATGTCGGACGGATAAGCGATCACTCGATGACAGATAGAGCTACAGAAACGTTTCCCTTTGACGTAGCGAGCGTTTGACGTGGATGGACAGTTAAATTTATCCAATAGAGAATAGAGAAACGATCGATTACCTTTTTTTCAATGGTAGCCGATACCGCGCGACCATAGACAATGTTCGCGTATACGTGTGTAGATGCAGGCATGCAATTAAATCCACGATAACGGAGGAATTAATCTATTTGAACGCGATTACGTTGCTCATCCTCCATTTTCGAGCACAAAAGGAAAACGAGCGAACGATCCGAGCGAAAGAAAAAGAGAAAATTCCATCGAGACTCTAGGAGGAAAATAATCGAAGCAAGAGCATCGGGCAAGGAAATGACAAAACCGCGAGAAAAGGAATTAAAGTTCGTCGAACGAGAGGTTGTAGGGTGGAAGGGGTTGAAACGAAGCCCGTAGTCAACGGTATAGTATCGGTTTTTCGAAACACCTTGATCAATAGCAGATTATACCGTCATCTGTGCAGGGCAGTTTAAAAATTCCGTGAAAGCTCCGAAGCCACCGACTTGAAGGGTGGGGATCTTGTCGGAGTGGCAAATAGGGGAAGCTTTCGAGCTGGTGGGGAGGGTTGTCTGGTCACTGGAACGTGGGCGTGGCGCATCGTGCTTGCGAACACGACGATTGGACCATCGACTATCCCCACCAGCCGCCAGACACCCCTTGGTAGGGATGTAAAAAGCTCGGTAGGGGTCGAAGGGGTGATTTTTAAGCTCTCTTTAAGCCGAGCTTGCCAGAGAGGACACCACTATCTCGCGTTCTACCACATCGTCGTGGAACAGCAGCAGCCCAGCTGGAAACTCGCAAGGGTAGAGAGAAAAAGAGACGAACAGAGAGGACGGAGAGAGAGAGAGAACTTGTAGCTGCAGCTATTTTATGAGAGGATTAAGAAAACGATAAGAGGCGAAAGCTACCCTGCCTGCGAGCTTAAGGAGGCCAAGGGTTTCCCTGTACCCGTTGCACCATAAGTGATGTGTTCTCGGAGAAAATCCTCGCTCGATATTTCTTTTCATTCCAAAGACTTCCACGATTAATATTCGATTCTCCGAAATGAGGCTTCTAATTACTCAATCGAGCTCTTCTATTTGTTACTCTCAACAGTTTTTTTCATAAAATTTTGAAGCACACAATTATATATCTACTTCACGTGTTGATGAACTACCACATGTGCTTTCTTTGTTTCTTATATTTAATACGAGACAAAGACCGAATACCGCAATTAGTAATTAATAAAACAGCAGGTTGGCAAATTCAGAAGTTTCGGTATTTGACAGCAGCGCGTATCTATTTCAAACAGCTCGTAACATACTTTCAATTTAATAAACCCCCAAAACGCCTGGCACCCTCTTGGAAACGGTACTCGCGTGCCAGGACGGGGGAGGGCGGTGGGCGATAATTCCGAAAACAAATGAAGACTAATGAGGGGAGAAGCCTGGCGAGATCTGTGAAAGAGTCGGAGAGAAAGAGACGGAAGAGCTCAGGCGTAGAGCTGAAAGGGTTCAAGGAGCCGCTACCCTTTAAGGGGTGAGAAATGTTAAGCTTAAACGTTACGGGCCTAGGGTTAGTTGCCTTTATGTGTACCCTCTACTGGGGTACCGAAGCTTTAAGGGATGATGTATTATCGAGCAACGTGTTCAAAATGTGCCCTAGCCGTTTCAACCGCGCGCCACATTTGGCTTAAATTTACATTTCCTCTCGATATTTGTTCTGCTCGATAACTAACTCGAGTGTGCATCATCGTGATTAATTAAGTTTTGCCACTGTACCGCAATCGATAATCGGTGGAAGGAAGAATAGGAAAACTGATCGTTTTCGTTGAAGGTACAAGTAGTACGACTCAACGATATGTCAGACGTCAAACTACATACATTTTGCTCAACGTTGAAATAATCGAATACGGTAATGTTTTAACAAAAATATTAATTCTAAACGTAACATAAAAATGTAGAAATATGAATGTTGACCACGTAAAAAGAATTTATAGAAAATCTTCACGGAACAATATACTAGACGCTTTCGTAAGGAAAGGAGTTACGCTTGTCAGAAAAGAGAAAGAAGCGGAGAAAGAGAGGAAGCGAAGAGCCGACGGTGGAGAAACTTAAGGGTTGTTTAAAGACGTTGGGCTAAAGGCTGACGTCCGGGGCCGAAAAGTAAAGAGTAAAGCCGGTTCGTTCAGGTTGCTCGCTTAAAATTCCCCCGCCAGGGCAGCCAGAGATACATAATAAATTAATTCGCGTATTTTCCTGTCCTCCTTATCTATTCAAATCTATGCAAAACAGGAGTTAAAACGCCCTTCTTACTGCTAAGGCATTAACCCTTGTGGAGCTCGCACACCCTCCCCTCTTTTCAGCTTCTTCTCTAACCCCCGCAACCTCCTCGGTGCCGACCCTCATCCTCCTTTCTCACGTCCTAGCCTCTCGCTACCGTCGGTCGGATGTCTTTGCACACCCACCCTTTGCGCCCGTTCTCATTATCGCGTCGCAGCAACCCCTAAAATGCCACCCTGGAAAGGTCCCTGGTACCGATCTAAGCTCTGCGAGGAGATATTTCGAGAAAGGACGAGAAAATTGCTGTCTCTCTCGCCACCTCTCGTACCACGGCGTTTCATCCCTTCTCCTCTACCCACCCACTCCTGTTCTTCCTCCTGCCGCTACTCTGTTTCCTCCTTCTCTTATATTTACGCTTGCATCCTCTTTGAAGTTACGGACGCGCTGATAAAAACGACGAACTTTTCGAAACGTTCATTGTACGATGCCTCTCCGGCGTCTTTGGTCATGTATATCAGGGATTTTTTCCTCGCGACACGATTGCGTACGCTCCAGATTGACAAGTTTCTACGAGTCCAAAAAGCTTTCTCCAGGGGATTAGAAAGTCGATACTTTCATCGAACGACTTTAAGACATGGAGGCGTAATACTCTGCGCCTGTAAGCGAATACTCTGTATAAGAGTGTGATCGCTAACAAAGAAATTAGGAATCAATTCCTGGAAGTTTAAGGATTCTAGCATCAGAAGAGAGAATATAGTAAGGGGATGAAGAAGAATGGCGAAAGGTATCATTAGTTACCGTCGCCTACGTCGAAAGGTCCTGGTCACCGGGCCTGATTAAAAGACGGGACACCCGGGGACACCCTTGCAAGACACGCAGGAGGGTGAAATGTGACGCGAATTTAAAGGATCCGCCGTGATTTGACGCAGGGGTGGACAGGGACAACCCTTAAAAAGGGAACCTTTAAGGATCCGGCACCGCACTCGTCAAGGGTTACTTGGTTTTCCGTGTACGTGAAAGGACCTTTTAAGGACGACTTCCAGGAACCGAATCCCTGAAAACCGACACTTCTTGATTCAATGCCTTTTCTTGTCTCTGTGTCTGTAATTAGCAAAAATCTTCATTCGTTCTCCTCTGAGCACCGATTTTACAAACGTTCTCTTCCCAGTTCACAATTTTCTTTTAACAAAAGATTCAATACTTTTCCTTACTGTGAATTTATTATATGCCACTGGAAAAACTGATTGCATCAAGACACTAACGAGAAGTTATGAAACTTCAAGATTCTATAATTCTACTAAAATTTATCTAATCGACTGTTCATTTTTCCGTAACATTCGAACGACGCAATTAACCTTTTCAGCGGTACAGTCATTCCTTGGATGTACCACAGCTACAGTTCTAATTTCGGAACAAAAGACGGGAAAAATAAAGAAAAGTAGCTCCTCTTTAAGGAAAGCTCGCGAATCTACTGTAAAACGAGCGCGACAGTTTTAAACTGAACGTTCCTAACAATCTCCCCCAAATGAGGTAAAGGCCACCTTATTGAAACAGGGGTTGCGATTTTTCCGGTGCCAGCCCAACCCCTGCTACGCGGTTAATTGACACTGGAGGGTGAACAGAGGGGGTTGGGAGGTAAAGTGGGCTAGGAATCGAGCTGCGCGAGCTGTTCTCGTTAACTCGAATCCAAAGGCTCGCGATTTTTCATCCCCTTAGGTAGACTGACAAAGACGGCCTCTCGGGAGGCACATGATCAGGGTGTTTTCCTTCGCGGACAATCTCAGCGAAGATCTTTCGCGTGTTGCCATTCACCGAATACATTAATTTTCTTCTTGCCTCGACGCGTCACTGTTGCTCCTCTTTTTTTCGAATCTTCTTTCGTACGCGCGGGTGAATTGAATCTTCGAAACGTGGAACAGCGCGAAACGTTTAATTTTGCAGAAATTCTTGAGGACACTTTTCGAAAACACCTTCATCGCATTCTTCGTATAATTACACTCGAGAAAACCGAACTTGAATTTTGTTCCGATAAACATTAACAGGAAATGTAGCAGGAATACAAGCGAGAAAATATATGATTAAAGATAAAAAGGGAAATGATTGTATTCCTAACAACTTAAATTATCGACAACCTCCACTGATTCAGAATAATCGAATAACCGAGAGAAAAGAATTAAAGAAAGTTCAAGACAGAATTAAAACTATATTAATCAGGTATCAAGTGTTATGACCATTGTTCTCGGAAGCATCAACCCCCATTCCTCTGTTCGAAACGATCGAAACAGATAACCAAGCCAATTAGGAATCTGCTGACCAAACTGATCGCGTTTGAGACATCGTCGTAAGTGGAGTGTTCTCAAAGGGAAGAAAGACAACGAATGTACCGGACTTCGAGCGTTCACGTCCTCGGGGAGACCATAAAATTCGAGCCTCCCCTCGAGCTAGACCCGAACGAAATTTAATAACATCCCCCTAGTTACACCTCAATGGGCACCTTAACAACCCCTGTTCGGGTAGCCAGCCGCCTCGCACCGTTCTCCTTTTCTTATCAACCCTCCGCGTAGATATCTAATAAACCAGCTCCCGTAACGCATCTTTATCCGAGCGACGATACACCACCCCCACGGTGCGGGTAAAAGGTGACCAACTGACCCCTCGACAACCGGCGAACTGGACAGAGGCGCAACCTGTGCGCTGCTCCTCGAACTACCAACGAAAGGGTTGAAAAAGTGGCGGACATCGCCGCGAATAAACCGATCGATACGCGGGGGATGTTATTCGTGAACTAACTACACGCGACCCACTTTCGATTTAAAATTCTTCAAAGAATGTGTTAACCCTCTTTCTGACAGATTACGTCTGTAACAATTTTGTAAGGAACTTTTAACCATTGAAGATATCTAAATTTGTCCTCTATTTTATTCTTACTTTTTAAACTTTAGATATTAATTTTTAATGAACAAAGCTATTTCTAAAATAAAAGTAGAACATTATTGCACACGATTTATAGCTTTATGTCCTACCCGGCTAAAGGGTTTGTAACGTGTTGGGGGCAATAGGAAAATCCAATAATTGTCAAAGTATTTGTGAACGACGGAACCATAAGACCACAATTACGTCGACAAACTTTTCCTTCGATAAACTTTTTCTTTCTGTCGCGCTTTAAACGAGCTGCTAACAAACCGAGAAGAATCTAAACGAAAGATCGCGTGGAAAATCATAAAATCGAATAATCGGAGCGCACGGGAATCTCGTCGGAAGCGATTCCTCCGCGAACACGCGTTCTCTCCGCAAAATATTCGACGCGTCAAAGTTTCGTCGCGACGCGGAAGAAGAGGGACAGAAAAGTCGCGTTTCACGGTAATTCAATTTAGCCGAGCTGCACGGCCGCGTTACGACACGGGGCTGCGACACTTCCGCTCCCGATTGCCGTGGAACAATTTTATGCAAGCCGGGCTTGGAAATTGTTGCGTCCGTCCTCGTTAGCTGAAATTACGATGGAAATCTGAAGGAAAGAAGAGAGAAGTCGAGAGAAACCGGGCGCGGCACCGTTGGTCCTTGATTGAGTAGACCCCACGGGGGTGGTGGTGGCGGTGGCGATGGTGATGGTGGTGTGGACGATGGAAGGGGGACGAGAAATCGACGGCAGAACTCCACACCATTCCCTGAGGGGGTGAGAGGGGCCGAGAGGGGGTGGTAGCAGAGAGTGAAGCTCCGTTAAGCCGCTTATCATGCCGAAACAATACACTGTCGGTGCACCAGTATCAGTAGCCGACCCTCGCCGCTCGGGGGGTTAGTCCCATCAAAATTTCGAGCTTCGAACGAATTCGAATTGAAATCCGCGCCCCCAAACTTGCCCGTCGATGCGCCGTCAACGAAAAACACTCCGGCAATCGCTCGGTTTTTCCTCGGTAATTTAATGAAAACAGACGATTTAGGAAAACGTATCGTCGAGAATAGATCGTTTCTCTATCCAGTTCTTTACACATTTTTCCATTGGGAGAAACCTCGAGCTTTTAAAACGGGTTTCGAATTATCGATCGATTTGTTATCTAACATCCTCCCAGCAGCATTTCGAGCAAAAATACCATGGAAGTGAAAAGAATCTTCGCCACGTATCGGAAGGAAGTTGAACGAGCACTGCCTGAAGCAGCTCGCGTTACTTCTCAAGAAGGATCAAGAATTTGAGCTGGAAGCTACGGCACAGGAAGTTGTTCGTCAAACGACGGAGAACACAAGTCGCAAAGTTTTGGCGACGAGCTAGCGCGCGGTGTCGACAAACGAAAAGGCAGAGAGAGCCAGCTCCCGGGGCTTAATCAGAGTCCTCTCCACTTAGACGCCCGGTGGCAAAACTCAATTTTGACTCGGTGCCTGCCGACGCTCAATTTTGACACCCTCCGTAGCCGCGAAGCCAGCCGAGAGGAGAGCAACGCGCCCCGTTGAAAGGAACAGTCTCGCCTTACGCGACACCGGTGCCAAGGGAAGCTACAGGGTTGCAAACTTAGTTATCCGTCGAAGCGGAGACGTTCCTAGGAGCACGAAGGTGTGCTCCGTGGAAACAGGTAGACACCGACGGGGAAACGCGTGTTCGATCGTCAGACACTTACCGGACAGTTTGAATCCCAGGGGATCCTGAGGGTGGCCGAAAGGGAACGGCCTGGGTCCGAAATGGAAAGGATGGAACGCCTGGTGTCCTGTAACATAACGACGGTTCTAACTGATGCAAATTTCTATTGTCGATGATTGACATTTGACATATACTGTCACAGTGGTAAGGGATGTATTTGGACAGAGGTGAAGTTTCTTTTCTAATTGGAACGTTCAGTTCAGTCACTGACAACTTCTGACGTCAATCAGTATATTAGATAAAGAATGTTTTCTGACTTTCATAGGATAATTTAAAACACGAGCACCGATGCACTTATCCTAGAAATAGTCTTATAATAAACTAATGGATATATTTTATTCTTAAACAATTAGTAAAAAAAATGAAAAATTCCGGACCAATTTTATAAAACGTTTATCCGGTATACGAATGCTCGAATAAAAGAAGCAAACTGAATAACGAAATCGTTGCACGCAGTTACCTACAGTTGGTAAAATCCTGTAAAACTCACTTGTCTTGGACCTGGGCTCCCTGGGTCCATCCACGGTGACCTTAATCGCCTTGGACAGGGTGGCTATTTGAGGCGGTGACGTCTGCAGCATGATCGTTAGCGTAAAACTCTTTCCTGAAAAGAAAATAACGGGTTAGATCGAGGTGAAGCGAACGAAATTATCACCTGGCGGTAAAACGAGAGGATCAAGTGTTTTCTATCCTGCTGGAGTGTTGCCCAATTAAATTGTACCATTTGCAAAACCAATATAATCATACCCAAAGTATTTTATTACAAAACCACATCGCGAAGAATAAATTCTATCCTTGGCAAGAGTTTGAACAATTGTCGGAAACAATTTGGAACGATGATCGTCGAGTGAATCGATATTCTTCCAAGATCGTAAGCATATTGCTGCGAGATCGACTCGACCGCGACAGGAAACATCTCGACAAAAGTTCGCGAGAAACAGCCCAATAGATCGAACTCGAAAGGTGGAAGAACGAAATCGCGCGTAACAAGCGATCGCGTATATTTGTTAGGGGTGGGTTCGCGTTTAGCGTGCCTCCCCCGACATTAACATATTCCGGCCGATTCGGGCCAAACATCGACGCAGCGGCGCCACTCGTTCACCCCTTACTTCCGGCACATTTGTGTTTTGTTTCCAGCGAACGCACCCTCCGCGCTTTGGCATTGCTGTTCGGCTCGCTCTCGCGAACAGTTGGCCGCGTTTCTCGCGAAAGAGCAACGGGAAGTGCCTACTAAACGGCCAATGCACAGGGGTGGTTCGCGTTAGGGATGTTTACACCCAGACAGAAGAAATTCTCTCGGAAGATTGTCTCCCTCCTGTTTTCTCCGACAACGGTTTTTCATCGATTTGTTGTCTCGATCGAAACGGCAGAATTTATTTATGTTCAAGGATGGAGCTGTAAATTGGGGGATGATTTTTACAACTATATTGAATTTAGGGACGAGGTATCGGAGCTTGCGAAGGTATCGGATTCGAAGGCGTTAAACTCGGAAGTGTTGAATTGGGGGATGTTGAATTTGAACGCGTCGAATCGTGGGGCATTAAATTTGGGAAAGGAATTCATAGATATTCGTAAGATGTCAAATTTCATGAATTCGATATCGCAAAATTTTGAAAAAAACTACTACGAACAAAGAGTATCGCATAGGAAGAAACCAGCAGAAAATTAAACGCTGTATAAAAATGAAATTTTCTCGACTATTGAGCATAGTCCAGCGACACATCGTAGGATGGAAGCAAGGAATTTGTCGCGGAAAAGGGAGTAGAAAGCGAGGAGAAATATAGGCTGGCACTTAGCGTGTTCTCGCGCTACGACCATGAAGTTATACGGCTTATAATGGGGTCGGGATGCGTGTGTGCACGCGGTTGCGTAGTTTTATTTCATACTGGCGTGGCTTGGACGGTAAACGACCGGGTTTTTACGGTGAACCACGACATTTAACCGGCTTACCGCTGCATTTTCTTTCGAATGCAGCCATGAAATATTAAAAATCTAATACATCACTACACACCGGAATACTCGTTTTAGTAAAGAAAAAGAACGATATCTTTATTTTCTATGAGTCTTATCTTTATTGCTGTTGTTTGTCACGTTGGAAATTAACGGAAAAAGAAAAGGCAGAAAATGGAATAGAGATTTCGAGGGTGGAAGAACTAACGAGGCCAAAGTTTATTGCCGGTGCGGTGTCAGATTCGTGATGGCGGTGGCGGTACGAATCGAGGGTGATGGCAAGCGTTTTGAGGGTGTTTATGAGGCATTATGTGTAACTCGCTGGAAGAACGATCCTCCCCCTTGAGGTCTGCTGCCCTCCACCTGTCTACGCTTGCCGAAATCGTAATTCGTTGCGTGTTAAACGGCGGCTTTGCGCGCATCAATCTGCGACCCTTCATACACTCTTGCTCCTCGCATAATTTCTCAATCCTTACTATTACTGTCCAAAAACTTTTACCGATCTATTCGTTGTTACCAATCGAAACACAATCGCTTCTTCTCCAGGTCTTCGAAATTAATTTCTTGCAAGTACTACTACTTTAATTCTTCCTAAAAGATCTATCAAATTTTGAACGTCGCTAATTCTGATTCTTTGTAAGATTGTAATTACCGAATCCCTGGAGAAGTAAATACTTTTTTCACGAGCCCACTGGGACGAAGAGAGTGGATTTCCACGAAAAAGCAGTAGCATAATGGTGGCGCGTTTATGGGCTCGCGATAGCCCGCGCCCATTTGCGACGACAAGGATTTGCACACCGCGAGAAGACACGAGAACGCTCGCGTACACCCTAAGTTTGCCCAGGGATCATGCAGCGTTAAAAACTCCCCTGTTTGCCGGCGAAGCTCGTAGCCGAGGGTGGCTTGGATCGTTATTTCAGGGTGTTTGTCGTGTTTTAAGATTCTGACGTTTTGACTGGCCGAATCGGTTGTGGAGCGAAGCTCGTGTACACTTTTATGGACGCTCGTGCCTAATACCGACTACAAATTTTCGTTCTCGGTAATCTTACCTCGCGTGCCACTTTCTCCCTTCATTATTTATTCAAGATACGAGAGAAACGGGTCGAGGTAATTATAGAATCTCCGGTAAATATGGAACGTTCTACTTTGAAAAAAATGTAACTTTTATCCCTGAATACTTCGAGACTTAAAAATGCGTGGAAATGATTTAATAAGTCGTAAAGACCCGTCGACGTTGAAGAGGGTCGACGCTCTTTTTTATAGCTCCAGAACTCAGCCCCGCAACCCTGAAACAGCTGTTGCGATCCTCCTTGCCAAAGTTCGATTTCGCGTACTCTCAAAACATCGTTGTACGTGTTCTAATTAATCGCGGATCTATGTCCTGTGAATTCTCTGAAAAAGTGTCCTGTAACGATGCGCCTCCTTCTTTGCTGATTAAATCAAATTTTAACGCGACAACGAAGATAAAAATGAAAGGGTGTCGTTTGTTTGGTTACAAGAAATCGACAGATTTGCGAGAGGAACAAGAGACACGTCGTTGAAATCCAGGGACAACTCGGTGGATTTCGTCGACCGCCTCGACGACGTTTTTTTCCCAATTAAAAATTAAAAAATCCAACCCTCTCTCAAGTAAAGGATCGCGCAAGAGGGCGAGCGGGCAAAGAGGCACGGAACGAGAAAGAGAGAGAAAAGTTCTATGGCGGATGACTGCACCGAGATTTTCTACCGATTAAACATTATTTTTCCCGCTGGTCTCCGCTCGTCCTACGTGCCTGGCCGCTCTGTTTCTTTTTACATATGCTAATTCCACGCTCTCCACGTTTTTTCCTGGCCCTTTTTAACCGTGCACCGTGCTCGCTCCGATGAATCCTCGACTCGATGTCGACAACCGTGTGCCCGTCTCCTGCATGCAAACTTTTCTCGCTCGCCATCGTTGCTTCGATTAGCCATAAACGTGGCTCCGGCTTTTCGTTTCGCCACCCTCGTGTTTACCCTCCTTCTCCTCTCCTTCTTGTAATCGTTATTCATCTGGGAACTTTTCTTATGTCTCGCACACAATGACTTTTCTTATCAGAAACGATCATACTCGATGTCTCGTAACTTTTTGAGGTGTCATAACGTAATAGAATTAATTTTTATGTACAAATTATACAATGAAAGTGTGAAAGTAAAATTCATGTCCAGAAGTGCAAAGTCCAAATTTGTGAATCTAATGAAACGCTTTCGATTCTAAAAAAAATTTTTATTTCTACTGTGTTTCATTTCTATGATGCAGAAAGTATTCAGAGGGTTCGTCTATATGTTTCAAGTGTTTGTAAACTGTTGGTAGATGTTTAGGTTCCCTCAATGGAGATAAGAATGAAGGTAACGCTACGCACTCGACAGTTTCGGTTTAGTTCGTCTGTAGTGTACGTTCATTGTTACACGAAAAATTTCGTTATTTCCAAACGTTGAATCCTTGAAGCAGATCCCATGTTTCGTTGGGCGCTTTGTATTAAAACATAGTCGCGAGACGTTTTCGCGCTGGCAATCGCCATAAACATGGCAGGAGCGTTATACAAACTTACGATCAAAGGGGAGGTAACATAGGAGATCGTTCATCGAAGATCAAGATCCGAAAAAGAAGAAGAGAATCGCGTGAATCACAGGGTTTGAAACGCAGGTGAAGAGAGAGGGCGAGAAAGGGAATCCATTGGGCGAGGACATCGGTCAGGATCTGGCTGTCGATAGTTGGAGCTTTGCCTCGGGATTCTCGCGTTCTCCTGCCGCCTCCGAGCACGTCATAAAACACAGGTAACTCCGGTATTTATGTCCGTCGTTTTTACGCCCCTAGCTGGCCACCGGTTTCAGCGCAGCCGAACGCTACATACGAGCGTGCTAACTCGCGTCTCGACTCCTAGACACGTACAGGAAGAGCAACAGAGAGAGACGGAGGGAGTTTCGCGCTAATCCCTGTCGGAAACGAAAGGGGTGGCCGAGTGATATACGCCTCTGCGCCGCTATGATAATATCCCCTCTGACCCCTCGCGAGACCACCCTTTTGTTTCGCGACTTTCCGCGAGAGATCCGGATGAAACCTACTCTCAGATGGAAGACCGGTTTCTCCGACAACTATTACTCTGCTGCTACGGTTTTTAAGATTTTTCGACGCTGACGTTCGACACATTGGCAACATTTCGACCCCTTAATCAGTCAACTAATAGTCTTATACCTTTCATGAAATTTGACTGGTTGCCAGATTACCATCTTGAAACGTCGGACGATTTCATGTCAGCCTCATGTCGCTAATATTAAACTAAATGTCATCTTAAAATGTCACTAATATTATACTAATTTGAAGCTTGAAGTTTATTGAAAATGAACATATACCTATTTTAAGCACACGACTAATCGTTATAGCCAACGATGATCGATTTAAAAATCTCTAAACGTTGGGACAATATGATACGAAACTATCGCAAACACTTATCAAATTGGAGTTTGAGGTTTAAATGCATAAAATTTTCAGAATGAACTATAAATCGATAATTTGATGTGCACTTAATAGCGGATCGTAGAAAGCCGTTTTTCCGACGTTTCACGATATCAATCGTATTGAATATTTTCCGGTACGCGTTTTTTCAAGCACGCAACGATTCACGATCTCTCGCCGCCGATCACCGATAACACGACCAATCGGTATCATCTACGGGGCCGTGCAAACAGATTTGCTAAATAAATCGAAAATTTATGATGTTTGCGAACGAGTCACGTCGTGTATCGCGCATAATACCACGGAGACGAGTCGTTGGCCAGTCCGCTTCATATACGGATTCCGTGTACATTTTTCCCCCGTTTTTTTTCGCCTCCGTTATTTTGTACGCGGCCCGCGCTCACTGACCATTTTGGGGCAAATATTTGTTCCATGCTCGCTCGCGGGCTTCGCCATGCCAATTTAATATTGCGAATGCGGATGAGGAATGATTTTTAGTCGAGATAAACGACGAGTGCGTTGCTCGAAAAATTGAAATGAGCCTGTTGCCCTCGCTTCCGCCTGTTCTCTCGATCATTTTTAACGCCTTTCGAATCATCCGCCGAATCTTTCTTTATCGCTCGGTTTCGCTTATTATTATACCGAAAATTTGACGGATCAACCGTTCTCACTATACAGTAAAGGAAATCAGAGAATTTCGACCATACGTTACTGTTAAAAAAAATCAAGTACACGAAATAAAATTTTGTTTAAACGTAGTTTTCGAAAAGGACGGACACCGCAAAGTGGGCGAGTTAAAAGTGACCCTGACGATCGTCGTTTTAAACGAAGTGTAGAGAAACAATAGAGGTTCGTGAACGGTTTTCACAATTTTTTCGCGAAACTCGTCGGATGAGGAGGATATCGCGGATACATAGGGAATCAGAGAATAGGACGGTGAGAGAGGGTGGTGAGTGGGTGGCAGAGGGGGGTGGTTTGGGAGTAGAGTGGTTGGCTGTAAGCGGCTTTGGTTTCCATGGCAGTAAGCCCTCATTACTGTATTACGGGCAGCCCCTAACTACCAACCGTACGCAACGATTTGCCTCTAGAATCTCTATGAGGGTGACGGATCATGCAAGATTGTTTTCCGCGTGTCCGGGAAACGCCGATATTCCAATCTGCCGGAAATATTTCCTCCTGACGGTGTTTCTCTCGAACCGGTCCGTGGTAAATTGCGAATTTATCCTGGGTTTAGGAATGGAAATCGCGATACTGTTCCCCGTGCAATAATTTTGTTTTCGAAACAGCAATTTTCGAAAATCTGCAGATTGGACGCAAATTTTTAATTTCGTGATCATCTTACTTTACAGTTGGTTACTTATTTTTACTCTTGTTGGAACAGAATGATCAAAATTTATCTCGGTGAGAAAATAGTTAAAAAGAATTAACCCTTCAAGTTCGGTAAAAGTGACGCGGCGAAACAACTTCATCGAGCAAAGTGAGCTCGATGGGGAAAAGCTTGGAAAATATTTGAAAATTTACGCGCGAGTCAGGAGGGTGATCCGTAAAAAAAGCTGGCATTTAAACCACCACCGTTTAAGATTCGACCCCGTGTCTTCATCGAGTTCGAAGGAAGAGCGTCGATATCGGGCCAGACCCCGCAATTTCCTTTTCCAATTTGCCATAAACAAGTCGACCAACCCCCCTCGTTAACAGAATACTACTACCACCGCCGTCACGTTCGTCACAGCGTTTTCTCTCCGCGAAAGTTGTACGCTTCGGGATCGAACGAAGAAGGACGAATCTAAGCAAGGGACGTCGTTGCAACCCGGCCGAATTAAAGGAATTAAAGGACGCCTCGTTACTCGTATCTCTCGATCCTTGCCACCCTCTTGGGTCAGGGAAAGAAGAAGGGAAAGAGGGAGCGCTTTCTTCTAAGTCCTAGTTCGTGCGTTTACGCGGAGCGCTCGTAATGGCAGCGATTATTAGGTCGCATTATTCAGCGAAGCTAGGGCCCATTGATCTTTTTCCTTTCCCTACTCTTTTTCGTCGCGAGCTGAATTATTGAAACGCGGAGGCGGGAAATTAAAAAATCTCGACGACGACCAACCCGAGATATCGGAGTCGTCGTATTTGCCGGCTGAATTAAAAATGAGGATGAAACGAAGGGGCCAGCTGGTTCGTCTTTCTTGTCCGAGGAAAAACGAGGCCATCAGTCGGCCCACCGCCTTAATGTACCGACTGTTGAATGATTTAAGACGCCTCGGAGAAAGCTTCTTTTCTCGCTACCAGTCGCGCTGATCGAATTTTTTTTTCTCGATCGCCCCTTCGAGAAACCCTAATTGTCCGAAGCGGTTTCGAGTCGAGGTCTTCGCCGAGAATGCGATCAAAATTTTAAATTTCAATTTCAAAATTAAGCAGTACAAATTGGAAGGAATTGATTTTGCGATCCCTGATTAACATTTAGATAGAGAGCACGAAATAATGGGAGGTAATATTAAAAACCGACTCACCCCGACCGCTTCGTCCGACGAACCTGAGATCGTTGAATTTCGCTACCTGGTTCTTCATCACGGCCGTAGAATTTCGCAATTCCGCGCAGCAATTTTCGTCGTTGCCAGCACGAACTGTCACCAGGGTCCCATCACCGACCTCGCCTAAGGCTACCACCTTAAACGCTACCGGAAGGGTCTTGTTCGACCTCCAGTGTGCTGGTAGCACCGTACAAACCACGTGCGGGGATCCTACCATAAATAAATCTTCATTGAAACCGTTATCCGAAAACTAAATATTGATAACTCGTTCGATCGACATCTATTCTAATCCAAAATTGATGCACCTGTGCAGTTCAACTGTCACAGTTACATATTTTTGAATAACTACGAAGGTACCAAATCTTTCCTTCCGAAATAAATGTTTTTGAGAGCTACGCGCGTTAAAAAGGGAATTTAAACTAAAATAATATAATTGCCGGGACAATTAATCCCAGAGGACGCGGTATATAATTTATAGAGCAAACAGCGTTTTTGAACAAGCGAAGAGTGAAAAATATCTCACCTGTCCGCACCAGTTCTCCGGGATGTTCCGCGAACAGCCCGTCCAGAGTTCTTTCAGCGAGTAGATCCGCGGTGAGAGCATAATCTGGCAGATTATTTGCTCCTGTGGATCCTTGCGGAGGGACCTCGTTGGTCAAGTGCATTCTTCTCCTCGAGGACGAGGTTCGCGTTCGTCGTATTCTCCCGCCACCGATCTGATGCACCGAGTTTCCTTGATGATCCTGATGACCGTTACGAACCAGTCTGGGGTCAGGATAGTCTAAGCCTGGAGGCCGATCCTCGGGGCGCGCATCTCGTAAAGGATTCGTCATGAGAACAGAATCATCGGACTCTTTCCTCGAAATATCCTCCTCGCCGGCAAGTTGCTGCGAAGGATTCGACTCAATTTTCTTTTCTGTTTCACTCGATCACAGCACTGCTTCTTAATCGATTAATCCTTTCGATCATTTGTCCGTAAACTGTTAAACTTCTCGAGTCGAGCGGCTCGTTCGACAGCGACGAATTAACAGAATCATAACACGGTCGGTTTGCTCGGAGGACACGCGGCAGCTTCCGCGTGGTCCCTAGGATCCTTTGATCCTTACTCCGTTATCCCGCGACAGGGCCGAGGTAAGAGAGCATCCGTTTGCAAATTCTTGCTCGTCTCGATTGCCAAGTCGCGGAGAAAATTCGTTTTATTGGAATCGTGTCGGAATCGACCCCTCGTTTCTTTGATCGGTTGGCCCACTCTCCTGGCGTTTTTTCTTAGTCGACCCCCGAACCTCCGACTATCCTCGCTCCGACGAATTCGATCGAAATTACCCGCCACTAATATCACGTCAGCACTTGCGGTCGAGCATCTAACAGGTGTTAATTCCGCGACCGGGAATCCTCGAAGCCAGCTCCGACCGCGACACGAATACCACATACGCACATTATTATTCTCGGTAATTCAAGGAACAGCACTGAATCGAATCACCGCACGGGCACGCATGGTATCTTCGAATCCGATCCGAGCGGGACGACGAGGTATCGTTTGAAGCGGACATCCGGCGAAAACGCGAAGGAAAATCGAAATTTTCTCGCGTCCGGTTGGTTGACAACGCTTTTCAGTTCCGGATCAGAAGAAGCGAAGACACTTCTTGGTGGCTGTTAGTCTCGTTCGATCGACATCTATTCTAATCCAAAATTGATGCACCTGTGCAGTTCAACTGTCACAGTTACATATTTTTGAATAACTACGAAGGTACCAAATCTTTCCTTCCGAAATAAATGTTTTTGAGAGCTACGCGCGTTAAAAAGGGAATTTAAACTAAAATAATATAATTGCCGGGACAATTAATCCCAGAGGACGCGGTATATAATTTATAGAGCAAACAGCGTTTTTGAACAAGCGAAGAGTGAAAAATATCTCACCTGTCCGCACCAGTTCTCCGGGATGTTCCGCGAACAGCCCGTCCAGAGTTCTTTCAGCGAGTAGATCCGCGGTGAGAGCATAATCTGGCAGATTATTTGCTCCTGTGGATCCTTGCGGAGGGACCTCGTTGGTCAAGTGCATTCTTCTCCTCGAGGACGAGGTTCGCGTTCGTCGTATTCTCCCGCCACCGATCTGATGCACCGAGTTTCCTTGATGATCCTGATGACCGTTACGAACCAGTCTGGGGTCAGGATAGTCTAAGCCTGGAGGCCGATCCTCGGGGCGCGCATCTCGTAAAGGATTCGTCATGAGAACAGAATCATCGGACTCTTTCCTCGAAATATCCTCCTCGCCGGCAAGTTGCTGCGAAGGATTCGACTCAATTTTCTTTTCTGTTTCACTCGATCACAGCACTGCTTCTTAATCGATTAATCCTTTCGATCATTTGTCCGTAAACTGTTAAACTTCTCGAGTCGAGCGGCTCGTTCGACAGCGACGAATTAACAGAATCATAACACGGTCGGTTTGCTCGGAGGACACGCGGCAGCTTCCGCGTGGTCCCTAGGATCCTTTGATCCTTACTCCGTTATCCCGCGACAGGGCCGAGGTAAGAGAGCATCCGTTTGCAAATTCTTGCTCGTCTCGATTGCCAAGTCGCGGAGAAAATTCGTTTTATTGGAATCGTGTCGGAATCGACCCCTCGTTTCTTTGATCGGTTGGCCCACTCTCCTGGCGTTTTTTCTTAGTCGACCCCCGAACCTCCGACTATCCTCGCTCCGACGAATTCGATCGAAATTACCCGCCACTAATATCACGTCAGCACTTGCGGTCGAGCATCTAACAGGTGTTAATTCCGCGACCGGGAATCCTCGAAGCCAGCTCCGACCGCGACACGAATACCACATACGCACATTATTATTCTCGGTAATTCAAGGAACAGCACTGAATCGAATCACCGCACGGGCACGCATGGTATCTTCGAATCCGATCCGAGCGGGACGACGAGGTATCGTTTGAAGCGGACATCCGGCGAAAACGCGAAGGAAAATCGAAATTTTCTCGCGTCCGGTTGGTTGACAACGCTTTTCAGTTCCGGATCAGAAGAAGCGAAGACACTTCTTGGTGGCTGTTAGTTCGGCGGGTGGCAGCGGCAACTTCCACGGGGAAGTAGGATAGGGTGTTTAACTCGCGCGGTCTCGTTTCGGTTCGCCGGTGGAAGATGGCGGCTTCTGCGGTGGAGCCGCGCGGTGTGGTTGCGGTGTATTTTTGAGGCTGCCGCCCCCAGCCACCACCGAGACCACCCTGGCTAACCTACCCCTCCGTGCCTCTCTTCCACGCCGCCGCCACCGCCGCCTGCCCGTACTAAGCGACTTGGTGGGGGTTGGTTTTTCCAAGCGGTGGGGAAAAATCTCTCTCTCTCCCGCTGCACCCTCTTCCGCGATATCCTGATGCTACTATCGCTGCTGCTGTTGCTGATCGCCAACTACTCGATCACACGCCAGAGAATGTCCTTTCGAGACGGGACGATGCACCCTGTTTCGATTTCTAATCACCGATTCACCGATAACACTATTATTGCCACGTCACCCATATTTGGGCGACGTTCGAAATTCCAACAAAATTTTAGCAATTTTACAAATACTCGAGAATATCGGCGAGTCGAAGCGTCAGACGTTTGCACACCGCACTGCGAGAAACTCGAACCAACACTGCCAGCAATTATGATCCGTACGTTCCTTGACACTTTTCATGTTCACTTCGAAACACCGAATTCCGTGTTTACCGAAACCGATCGAGCGACTGAACCCGTTGCTTCTCCGCGACGTAATAATCTGTCCCCACTTTGCCGATGTTTCGAAGAATGCTGCGAGTCAGGTTTGTTGATATTTTGACTCGACTCGGGAATGAACCTTGAACGAAGAATCTGAATTCATCGCGTCGATAACTTGTACATATTATTCGTTCTATGCGCGGAAAACACTTGGTAGAAGAATCGTTTCGTAGGTCCACGTCACGATTGACCCGGCACGTTCGAGCGCACGTGTTCCACCGCAATTTCCACGATGCGGGAAAAAAGAGAAGGATCTATAGTAATTAGTGGACGATCTCCAGGTTGCGGTTACTCGGTACACCGATAACGAGCTTGCCACCGTTTCGATTGTCCTTTTTCCTTTGTTTCCTCGTCGAGTTCTAGCCGCTTCCGTCGTACAACGACCTCCCCGCGCGAGACTGCAAAACGACACTGCTGAAGAAAGGGAAAACAAAGACGGCAGAAAGGTCCCTCGTGTAGTTGCGTTTTAGCAGCGAGGAACAACCGAGGGGGTTGTTCGGCGATGCTCGGGGGTCTTTGCGAGGGTGCACAAGGGAGCAACGAAGAACCGACGACGGCTGAACAGAGAGATCCGAGATAGAAAACCGGAGAAAGAAGGGGAACAAGACTTTGTCTTAATGTCAGCGTCATACGTGTTGTCGGCTGCTGAACGCATCCAACGGCTACGACCAACCTTTCTAGAATTGCTCGGGGCTTGGATCTCTTCTTCGAGTGGTCACAATTATCGTTATTGCGAAACGTCGCCGAGATTAAACGGTTCGGAGATGCGAACACGACTAGACGGCTAATGAAACTTCGAAATTAGTACGAGAACTCGGTTGCGTTGTTAATTAAATTATTAACGAACAGAAAAATTACATTCAAACTGGACTATTTAATAATTAATTCAATAAGTATCCAATTTCTGTGAAGAGCCTATATGTACTTTAATAAACTTTCGATTCTTACAGCTGTCTTAAAGACTGCACAAATGAAAGGTTGCTACATAAATAAAAATAGATGATCTCATTAATTGCACTGAATAATAAATTTCAAAATTGAAAGGAGAGCGCGAAGAGTAGTTTGGACAAACGAGGAACAAAATACGAAATATACGGTACAGAGTTTCTCTTTCGACAAACGATAGAAGACTATCGATCATGACGGATCTGTAGCAAGTTACGAGGATCCCTGTACGACAGAGACCACCCCATATAATCCTACACCCCAACGAGTAACAATGCAACGCCTCCGCGTCCCTAAACGTCGAGTTCCCGAGATGCATTTCGTCATACATCGGACCCTCGAGTGATACATCGTCTCTTTTTATTTTGTGCCCTCCCATTTTTCTGCCCCCGTTTTCGACACACTACGGCGCGTTCCTTTCTTACGTGCACCCTGCGAACGTATAAATCTCGGTACAACTACTTCAAAGCTGAATATTAACCACCTACAACTTGGATATCCGATGTTTGTCAAAATAAATGATAAGACTCGTCTCTTTTATTATTCCGATTTCCTCGCGAAAGGGTTAAGGAGAAATAATTTCTCTCTAGAGAGGATCGCTGAAAAAATATTCGAACAATGTTGTTTCGAAATTGTTGGCGTATTTAAGGTTTGATCAGAAAATAGAAAGAATTAAGACGACTTGTCGTGTCGAAGGAATGCGAAAATTGCGGAAAACGAAATCGAATATTCCACATACAACGACTCGATGAAGTGGAGAGAGGTGGATGAAGCTAGATATTTAACAGGTTTCGAATATTTCAATAAAAACGTGCCCGACAGTGTTCCGTGGCGCGTCAGTTTTTCACGGAAAAACAGGTATTTAATTATATCGTCCAGTTTGACGTGATTTCATGTAATTAAATCCTGTCGCCATAAAATTACCGGCCGAAACGGTAGGCGACGATATTTTTCAATTAAAAGAAAAATATATTCGATTACGCGACCGGTGCTCGCGTTTCGACGGGATCACGATCCGCGTTTCACTATTTTCTCTTATTTTCCGTTTTTCTCGTTTCGTTTCTCGGCCTTTTTCACGGTAACGATATTCTATAACCCGCATCTGACACGGTCCACATAATCGGTATCGCGGCGGTGAATGCTGGACGATTATCGACGCACTTTTCCGTACAAATTAATTGGCCCAATTATCGACACCGAACAATTACCTACTGGCGACCAATTAGATCAACGCTGCTCGTTGTTCCCGTGCTGCCTGGCAAGAAATAATTGGTGCTCACACGTCCTCGCATCCACCCCCTCACTTTGCCTCCTCCCTTTCGAAAAATCAACGCGAAATCATTGAAACAAAAATAACTTGATATTCCACCGCTGCAAAACAAGGGGAAAGATTAACGCTAAGATTTTCGAGTTATCCTCTTCCATCTTCCCTACCCCTTTTAACGAACGAACGTAAAATCATTTCAGGAGAAGAACAACATTGTCCGTCGATATAAAAGAAGAGAAAAGTTGGTCGCGAAGATTGCGTCTCACTCTTACTTGTTCCTCCCCTTTCAACACCTTACCTTCACTGATGAAATGGATTAAAAATGGGAACTCTGATCGAGGAACGAACATAGAGTCGTCGGAAAAAAAAGTAAACTTGACGTTACTTATTTGAACAAAAGAGTGGAGAAGTTTGGTACGAAGATTTTAACTCACCCTCACTTGACCACCCCCCCGATCTCGAGAACAGAAAATAAACGAAATAACACAACTTGATCGAACAGAATAGAATTTCGAAATCGATCGCGATCGATGACTCGCGCACAACCTTCGTTCACCAAACTGTCCTGCGTTTCTTTGCCAATTCCATCCTGAGCCAACTGGGACGACAAACTCGTTTCACGTTTAAGGAAAATCTGTTATCCCGACGATTCTTGGTTCTCGGTCTTCTTCAGCGTTG